ACATTTATTTTTAAGATTATGAGGCAAGGATTTTATTGGTCTGCAATGAAACAAAACGCACCAAAATTCACACAAAAAGGTGACAATTGTAAGCTACACTCCAACCTCACCATTCACCTGTCGTAGAGCTCTCGTCACTCCAAAGCCCATGACCTTTTGTCCAATTGGGGATTGATATAATTGGGACATTTTTTGTGGCTATTGGGCAGCAAAAATTTATCATTTTGGCCATGGACTTCGTCACCAAAATGGTTAGATGTCGAATCCCTAGCAAAAATCACCGAAGTAAATGTCAAACAATTTGTTTGAAAAAGTCTATCATTTTGGCCTTCCGGTAAAGATTATCACTGATAATAGAATTTAGTTTACTAAAAATCTCTTCATGACATTCTATAAGGATCTCTATATACAAATGGTGCACACAACAATAGCCCATCCTAAAATAAATGGGCAGAATGAGATTACAAATCGAACTATGCTGAAGGGACAAAAGACACGCATCGGGAAAGCTCAGGGCAATGGGCTGACAAAACTCCCCAATCTCCATTAGGTAGTTCAATTGAGCATATCACACCACCTCCAAGACTCCAATAGGAGAAACATCGTATAACCTTTGCTTCAGCACTAAGGCAGTCATACAGGTCGATATTGAGCTTCCAAGCTAAAGAGTACAGACTTTTGATTTCAATAATAATGATGACAACCTCTAAAATAAGCTAGATCTTCCCCCATATTACATGATCTCAATATCCTTATTATCACTGGAGAAGATTTTCTCATCTCACTTTCAACACCATCTTTACCAAATCTGGAGGGGAGTCCTCAGAGGCTTAGCTTGAAGACAGCCTTCAACCGCAACCCAATGTCTTGCAATGCACCAATCAGAAAACTTTTAAAAAACCACGAACAAAGCATTCCTCAAGGCACTAACACTCTAGATCCTTCATCTTAGCATCAAATAGATTATCATAAGCCACATGGACGTGATTCTGGATCTCTTGACGATAAGCAGAGGATGTCTTGAATTCTTCCACAACCTTTAGTGATATGACCTCTATGTGAGCATCAACTTCTAATGTGGCTGCCTCCTTCTCTAGAAGATGAGCTTGTAATTCTTTATACTCCTCAAGATCTTCTTAATCAACCTGAAGGGTGTCCTTCTCTATTACAAGTGCCTTTAAAGCTTCATTTTCCTGATTAGTCTTTGTGCAAGCCTAAATCAACTCGGTGTGAGAGTAGTCATCTTTCTAATTTTGAAGGAAAAAAAGTGGTGGACATCATTACCAGCTCGACTCAACACACTGCTAGCTAGCTTTCCAACACTGATGTCTCTTTAATATTTGCATCCAACTTTCATTTGAACTCCCCCTATAAATATTTAACATTCACAAACATAGTATTCCACTCACTAATATTGTGTCAAATTGGACATCTATCTTCCAGATCATCTATAATATACATAGGATTATTAACATCTGAGAAGAAAAAGAGGATCAATATAACTAAGCACTTTTTTGCACGAGGTAGCCCAACACAGACATGTTTTAGCATCTCTTCAGGGATAAGTATCTTGAAAGGCCAAATCTCACTATCTGAATTAAGGGAAACAATATCGATCATCAAAGGACGAAAAACCTCCATATATTTTTGTCGTCACTTGGCAAGGTCACTGCATTATTCATTCTTTTCTTCTTTATGAAGGAATATCCATTCTCGCTTTGTCCTCCTGAAGGATTTTTAAATGAAAACTTTAAAGCAGTGAGACTTGCTTCACAAACTTTCCTATACTTCCTTAATTGAACTGCATGAGATCTTCCTGCCTAAATAGAAAGACCAATCTTATAAAGTTTTTTTTTCCAACACATACTGGCTGATATAATGTAGCTCATTATAAAGACTCTTTGCATCAAAAAAATTAAGAGTTTTTAACATATCCTCTCCTTAGTGAGGAAAGTCTTGCAACTATTTTAAACTCCTTTAATTTTTAGAAAGAGCTGTGCATCAATTCTTAGAAAGGGTCACATGTTAAAAAATCTAACTATTTTTTTTTACTTATGCGTAAAAGATGCCCTTGAGCTGTGGATCAATTCTTACAAACAATATAAATGATAGATCCTCTGGGTTCTTCGAAACTTATCTCCTCTCAGAGTAACCAAAACCACTTCTTCGGGCGTTAGTCAAGTAACTCCCACCTCTGGTTGACGACATTAACTTACACCATGGAGAACTAAAGCCTACATAAGAGTATCGGATCTTGATCGTCACCACCATCGATATTTAATCTCTTGCCTGACAATTTTTCCCCAACCATAGGAGAACAAGAGCCTGTGTAATAATATCAGGTCTTGATTGTCTCCACAAGTATTAAACTCTTGTTAGATAGCTTTTCCCCCACCGGGGGAGAACAGTATCCTAGGTAAGAATATTGGGTCTTGATCACCGCAACCACTAGCATTTAAACTCTTGTTGGATCAATTTTTTCCAGTCAGGGGAACCCTTGAGCTTGTGTAAGAGTAGCAGGTTTTGATCGCCGCCGCCACCAATATTTAAACTTTTGTTGGATAGTTTTTTTCACAACCGGGGGAAAACTGGAGCCTGCATAAGAGTATTGGATCCTGATCGCCTCCTCCACCAGTATTTAAAATATTGTTCGATAAATTTTCCCGCCGGAGGAGCACTTGAGCCTGTGTAATAGTATCGAGTCTTGGTCGTCGCCGCTAATCATAATTGCTAGCAAAAGCCTCCAACATGTTGTGCTCTCTCCCTAAACCCAAAGGGGTTATTTATAAATTTTTCAAGGAGAGTCGAAGAAAAAATTTTTTAATTTTTTTGAATTTGTATGAATTTATAAAAAATTTTTGGGGCTAAAAATATAAAATCTCCTTGTTTGATTGTTTTAAAAAAGGAAGAAAATATATTTAAAAAAACTATTAAATGATGGTTCAAAGAGGTGGCACAATTTACGCATCATTGAACAAAGAAAAAGGGAAACAATGTTGTTATGTGCGCCCATGCTAGTGTTAGTCGTACGCGGTCTCTACAGGGGCAGGCAATAGTAGGTCGGTCGGTTTCGTTGTCGCTTCGAGTCTGGACCCACATCCGGGCCCGATTTTCAGCTCGGACAATCCATTTTACACATTTTTGGGGTCCACATGGCCGCTTTTGATGATTTAGACTCAATTTTACTACTTTCAAAGTCTAACGAAGCCTCTACAGTCAATTTTGAGTTATTTCAAAAATTTTGAAAAGAATTTTTTTGACATTTTTTCTCTCTAATCGTCACACCAATTTTATTGAATAAAAAAATTATTGTCAAGGATATTGTACTTGGTTCATAGCCTCGAAATCCACGTTGACACCCATGGAGCGATCGCACCTTGTTATTTATCTAAATTTCTAATTTTTTATCACAAGTAGTTTGAAAAGCTCAGACATATTTTCGAACTCTACGAGCTCCGATGTCAAAAAATAAGGGGTCAACTAATATATCATCAAAAGTCACTTTGATCGGACATGAATTTTGAGGTATATCTAAGTTGGAAACTTTTGAAATTAAATTTGGGGTCATCCAAAATCTAATTTCAGCAAACTTATAATTAAATTAAACAACTCAATGATACAAGCCAAATGACACCAAAAGCAGTCAAATCCGAGCGCAAATGACCCTAAATTAAGGGGGTTGAAGCATATTTGAAAGGTTCAAAGCCTTAATTAGATGACCAAGTGAACTCTAAATATGGTATGCTTATAGTCGACTCGATGGCTTGACAAGCAGAATCCAACTAGTGCAAGATCGCTCAATTATGACATCAATAAGGCATATAACTGCTTGGAAAACATTCTATGATCGAGGGAGTCGATATGGACCGTCTGATAGGGAACTCCAAATATACCAGGATCTTATCCATATTTATAGAGTGGGCCACTCACAATAATCTATAAATAGACCCCCACACTCTATATAAAGGGAACCTTTGACTGTAGATTGAATAGAGCTCTAAGGCTTCAAGGATCCATAACTCCACCCAAGCACCACTATAGTGAACTTCTATCGATCGTCATCGGACCACCGCTCGACAGCCAACCACCGTTAAAATTCCACTCAACAGCCAACCGCTGCCAAACTTCCGCCCGACGAACCATCGTCGGACCACCGCCGGCACCTGACCGACTCCAAAAAACCATCAGCTACCGATCGCCACCAGACTTCCACCTGGCTACCAACCAAGGATAGACTTCCACCAAACCATTGGCAGACCACCACCTGGCCACCGAACGCCTCCAAACTTTCACCGATCATCATTAGACTTTTGCCCGTCACCATCAAACTTCCTCCTGACCGTCATCATACCACCATCTAATGCTGACCGTCGCCTAACTTTCTTCCGCCCAACCACGGCCATTACAAACTCTCAAATATCTATATGGAGTATAACCAACTTTCCAAACTATTGTAATTACACAACCTCCAAATTAAGAGATAGGTCAACTTTTATATTTCATTCAAATTTAATAAAATCTTCTCATCCAGGCCAAGCCCCATTGTTTTTCCCTTATCAGGTGTTCCTTGTAAAAGAATTTTGGTTTTTTCTATGTTCTCTCTTCGACTATCACTTTAAGTGTTGAATATCAATGCATCATTAGGAAAAAAAATTCTCTCATTCTGCCGCTATGAATATACTAGCCTGCAATAAATCTTAAGCTAATTAAATATACATTGACAGCAATCCCCCAATTTTCTTGTCCTTTTTGAAAAGCCAATAAAGAAATAAAAACGTATGCTTCGTTAAACCCAATTCAACCTAGAGTTCGCCATGCTTTTACTATAGGCAAATAAATCAACGTTGTCCAGATGGAATATATTCATTAGTGTTTTAGTAAAATATTAAGATTTAGCCCAGCAGCACTATTCTGTTGATCATATTCTATTTCACAGATATTGTGGGAATTAATGGCAAATTGATGCCTGCCAATGATGTCGGAAATTTGTAACAACATTGGACTTTTTAAGAAGGCGGCATTGTACGAGCTCAATATTAGAGTGCATGAACTGTAAATTCAAATAAGATGGTAAAATATACAGGCTTCTTGGTACTTAGAAATTTTTCTCCTATTACCCTTAACAAGTTAGGAGATTGAGGCCCAGGAGAATCTTTTGTACTACACATGCTAAAGATTAAAGATTTGAAGCAGCAGAAAAGCATTACTCTAATAATGCTGATGGTGATCAGTCTTTTGCATCCTCTTGTTTCATCTTTTTCTCCCACCTGCGTTTCTGAAAATGTATAAAAACAATGAGGCCAATGAGCATACAACAACAACATCAAGCCGTTATTCAATTATATGGGATCTGCTATACGAATCCTTTGATATGATAATTATATTGCATTAGTAAATACCATTATCCTAGCAAGGACAGATTACTAAAAGGAAATTGGTCTTTGATTATATAAAATGTTTCTCAAGATAAAATAAAAAAAGTGTAAAGCAAGCCCACCCACAGACTTGTTAAGTGCTATTCTTCTGAGCTTGGTTGGACCAGCGTAATGAAGATTCTTGAAAGTAAAGCATGCAAATGAATGATTCTTGTTTTCTTCTATGTATATCTATCACCCATTTAGTCATGTGTTGAACAGTTTTTACTCATTAGTGAAATCATTGAAAACCATTGAAGCTTGAACACTATTCACAGAAATCAAAGAAGGAATAACTGCTTTAACCCAAAGGTTGTAGAGTTACGTTCTTAATCCTGATGGTTGAGAATAACCATTAACGCAAATGCCAACTTCAAAAATAAATGGAAATAATGAGTTTTCCAAGAAATGAATAGCTCAAATAATGGGGCCGAGTGATTGATTGCTCCTCATGAAGATGCGCCTAAAAAAGATGTCAATTAAGAACAACTATCAGGATATTCAGACTAAATCAAAATGTGAAGGGACTTCAGAAAGACCACATTATAAGCGCACTTTCAGCTCTACAAACCACTTAACACAGTGGGTTGGTATTGAGAAAGAACCAAACCTCCGTTGAAATCGCAAGGTTCATGCCTAACAAGTATGCTTAGTTGTGTTACTATTAGACCAATACTTAAGACAACATGAAAAAAATAATACCAAATATTTTGCATTTCACATTTTTGCTTGCAAATGCTTGCAATAAAATATGAAAAAAAAAGAAAAAAAAAACAATAACAGGAAAATTTTGGTTCAAAATCAAACGTTCTTTTTTTAAGATTATTCTACTAGCAAAAACATAGCAAGCTATAAATAGGGATGCAAATGAACAAAGCGTTTGACGAGGTACTCGTGGCTCGATTTGATGAGAGCTCATTCATGTTTATTTGATAAGGTAACGAACGAGCTTGAAAACTTTTGATAAATACTCGATAGCTAAATAAACGAGCTTGAACAATTTGGCGTTCGGTTCATTTATGTTCATGAACAATATCGTTTAACGCTCGTGAACTAACTCATTAAGAAGCTCAATTAGATCTCGACTAAGAAGCTCGATTATAACTATTTTAGAGTTTTAAATATATATATATATATATATATTGTTAAATTTAATATTTATTTTTACTTCCTACATCCGCCTAAAATCGCGAACAACTCGATATCTGAACAAATATAAGATGAATCATAGATCGTTTGTTCGTGAACGAGCTCATTTGATAGCTCGAAAACACTAAATAGATATATTCATGAACGGGCTCATTTGATAGCTCAAGAATACTCAGTAAATATATTCGTGAACGAGCTTATTTAATAGTTTAAAAAACTTCATTAGATATATTCACGAACAGGCTCGATGTAATTATTTGTTAGAATGCTCGATAAGGTTCGTTTGTTAAGTTAATGTACATCTAAAAGTATAGCTCGTTTATAGCTCGATAAAGCTCGTTTGTTTAAAGCTTGATAAGCATGAACAAACATAAACTAAATATGAATACCCATTAATTTAAACGAATAAAGCTTGAACACAAACAAAAAAGCTCGAATCAAACATGAACCAAATACAATAGATAGAAGCATGTCAAGCATAGGTTGTCCTGTTCAGTGATTCAACCTATATAGTTATAAGCAGCTTGAACCAATTCAATTATCACATACTTTGGGTATCGCAACACTATTGGAATGCTCTATTAATATTTTATTAGTGAGAATTTGACTCTTAACAGGACAAAATGGAGAAAAATGATTCAAATAGCTGACCACATATAGTGGGACAAAGGCATGATGTTGTTGTTGTTGTTCTTGGGTTTATTTGGTAAGTTAAAATGAGCTATTGTACGAACTCTAATGATGTGTTATTGTATAGTTTCTCTAGATTCTCTAAACTATTGTGGAATGTATCAACTATGTTAACTACTAAATCAATTTGGAGCTCCAAGCAAATTGTGGTAGTTTTATTAACACATAACATATATAATTGTTTAATGTGTAGACCATGTCAAGTACTATATCATGTTATTTGTAATGTTGTTCAAGAAAATTTGCAGTTTTGAATGCTCTCATATTCATGTATTTGAAATTGTTGAGATGGATCAATATTATTAACGGTGAGTCAGGGGCTAACCTGGGAGCTCAGGCGAGGCCCTGAGCACCTCAAAAAAAATCTAAGCAAGCGCCATCACTTCAGGCATTGCTTAGGCAAGCACCTTGATGTAAGGTGCAAAGCACAGCACTCGCCTTTACGAAGTAATTTTCTAATTTATTTTTAAGTATATACAACCATATTACATAATGGAGAGCTAAAAATCTGATTGGGAAGAGTGTGTGGGTTACAAAGAAAATGAACTACACAGTAACAAAGATTAGATTAATTTTATAACATGGAAGCTACAAACATATATTTATATCAGCTTGTTTAAGCTTAAAACACAACTTTTGAGCCTTGTGGGTACTTTATTTTATATAATTTCTCTGCAATTTTTTGCCATTTTGATATTTAGAATGCATAAAACTTGAAAAGATATTTTCTTTCAACTACATATTAAGATCTTATTGTGATGATTATCATAACATACTCCACAAAAGTATTCGGCATATTATACTCACAAAAGCATTCCGCATAATTGAAATAGTTTATATTTTTTAGCTTCTCAATTTTCTCGGGTAAGAACCTAGGCTAGCATCTAGTACCACAAGTTTAGACATTCATGCCGCCTTAAGAGCGCCTAGTGCCTTTACTGACATTTAGATGACCTTGAAAAAAGATTCCTTCATGCAAATCTCCCTAATTTATATGGACTATAGTATCATGAATTCAAAGATGGGAAAAAAAAGCAATGGATTTAAATTTTCATCAAGAATGTCATATGTTAAGATAAATTTTTAAGAAAGAACTTTTATGAGTATTAACTTATTTATATAAGCAGTAATAAGAATATGGATAGGTAGTCATTTAATTTTGTACAATAGTAAAAGAAACATATTACAAAGTTTCAAGAGAAGTGCTTTGGAGAGTTCTAGAAACAAATGAGTTAATAATGCTTATATTCAAATAATTAAGGATATGTATGCAGTAGTTGTCATGCTCAAACACAAGATGATTCCACCAAATATTTTTCTATTTCAGTTGGATTACATCAAGCATTGACTTTAAGCCCATATTTTTTTTTGCCTTAGTCATGGATGTTCTTACTAGACATTTGCATGGGGTAGGATGCCCTGGTGTATGATTTTTGCTTATGATATTCTTCTTGTTGATAAGACTAGAAAGAGTTGAAAGAAAACTTGAATTATGGAGGTCAATCTTAGAGTCTAAAGGCTTATATTTGAGTAGATCTAAAAAAGAATATATTAAGTATAATTTTAGTAGTAATAGATCTAGTGGGGGATTGTGATTTTTGGTGATCAAGTAAGTGATAAGAGTACACGCTTTAGATATCATGAGTCTCTTGCTCAAAATAATGGAGAAATAGATGGGGATATTATTAGTAGAATTCAAGTAGGATGTTTGAAGTGGAGGAATGCATCAAACCTATTTTGTCATGGAAAAGTATCCCTCAAATTTAAGGAAAAATTCAATAGGCTAATGGAGAGACCTGCAATGCTTTATGGTGCAAAATGTTGGCCATTAAAAGAGAAGCATTTAAAGTAAATTAAGTGTTACAGAGATGAGGATGCTCAGGTGAATGAGTGGCTTCACTCTTAGAGATCGAATGTGAAACAAATATATACGTGAAAAGGTTGGAGTAGCTCCAGTTGCAGATAAGATTAGAGAGACTCACCTTAGATGGTTTGGACACAAAATGTCAGCCTTAAGATGACCTGGTTAGGACAGTAGATGTATTAAATTTGGCCAATGTTAAAAAAGGTAGAGGTAAACCTAAAAAATACTTGGTTAGAAAATATTAGAAACGACGTTTTATTATTAGATTTAAATGAGAATTTGCCTCCTAATAAGACACAATGGAAAGAAAGGATTCATGTAGCCGATCCCATGTAGTGGGATAAGGACTTGATGTTGTTGTTGTAGTTAAAAAACACATCGAAATCAAACCAAAAATCACTTTTTAATTTGTAGATAGAACCCAAATATTTAGATTTTCAAAATGATAATAACAACTTCATCCATAAAAATTTTTGCAAAAATGGTTTTACAACCAATTTTACAAATAATTAAAATCGTTCCCAAACAGACCTTTGCGGTCACTTCATCCATGGCATTGATCAATATTAGGTAGCATGTTGGGCAGCCCCTAGATGATGATGGGAACAATGAGGAAGACATCTATGATGATGAGCAGCACCACATGGTTGGTACTTCAAGTGGATGCCAAGATAGAATTTCTAAGAAGTTACACAATTGATCAAAGAGTCTGCACAATTCTAATAACCATACCTGATTGGAGAAGCTTGACCTTCATATCATTGAGCAAAGTGTCTTGCTATACAGGATATGATTCGTCGCTCGATTCACTAACATGGCCATGACGATACAAAACCGATGACATCCTATGATGAGAGGATGGTAAAGCATACGAATGTCATCTTTCTTCATTAGAAAGCTTGTCTCAATCATGTATCCTGCTAAGGAGATGCTCTAAAAGCATTTTTAGTGGAAGTTTCCTTTTGAAGTCACTTTCTCTTATCTTTTAAAGGAACTCTTCCTGTATCTCAGTGAACTATATTGGATATATATTTGTTGAATCATTAAACTGATTGATTGTTTTATGACATCAATTTTTCAGTATGTGTTGTATGATTGTTAGATGCCCCACTAATGATGCCAAAATAAGGCAAATATTTGTCATATAGTTTGAGCAAA